TATATATATATATATATATATATATATATATTCAACATCTCCGCCCAGTCCATCTTCTTCTGCGTAGATATCGCGCAACGATCCATCCATCCCCATTTTTCCCCTGATCGATTCTGTTATCGCGTTCCGTAACGCAACGCGAAAACGCGATGCCGGTATGCGACATGGAGCGGAATAACGGGAACGGTAACAATAACGAGAGCGAGGAAGCATCGAGCACGAACGAGCGCGATATACACGCGCTGAGCACGCAACGAGCACACCGGCCAGCCATATTATTACCGTCTTTTCGCAGTCCGCGCCTCTGTAATTATGATTTTATTTTTATGGACATAAATTATACAGGCTGCCTAGCTGTGTCATTATACGGCATTTTAATTCAAGGTTGTAGACATAATGGTAACCCGCACCACGAACACGGAGAGCTGCTCACCTGCCTAGCGAGCGGAGGAGAGAAGAGAAGAGACGTGTGCACGCCACGGAGGGGGAAAGGGAGAGACGCGGGGCGCCCACTTTGCCTCTCCTTCGCCGCCTCCCCCTCTAAGCTCCCGCGTTTATTTTCCCGTTTCCTTTCCATTCTCCGTTTCCTTCGCTTTTCGAGCTTCGATTCGTCGTCGTCGTCGACGTTCGCTTCGCTTCTTTCTTTCCATTCCAATTATATCGGCGTTCGTTTGCGCGAAATAAGTCTCTAATCGCGGCTCCCTCGCGAAAATCTTCTTCCTCGTTCTTTGCACTCGTATTGTTGGTATATTTTAAAATTTTTTAAATCCAACTTGCAGAGAGAATGAGAACGAAAGAAAGAGAGAAAGGAGAAACGATTGAGGAATATTTCGCGATCGCGCGTTCGTTAAAATATAGCAATAATAACGAATAACGAATAGCGAATGATTTGTAGCCGTAACGAAACTCGCGTGACCTCGAAAATTAAACGTTTCCTTTTCTCTCTCTCTCTCTTTTAATTAACGTTAAACAAACGTTGTTATTATTATTATTATTTTTTTTATTTCTTAACGAGCGCGTTAAATTTCAAATTGGCGTAAATATTTAATCGAAAGAATAAATATCGCATTATTATAATTGACACGTAAAGCGGAAAATAATTCAGCAATAATTACGATATCTAATGGTAATCTCGCATCTCATATTCGAAAGAAAGTATAAATCAAGTTTTAACGAAAAGCAAGACGCGAGTGGAAAAGAAGATAATAATCTTTTTCGTACGGGCTGCATGTTTATCTCCATAATTTGCGAGTTTTTTGTACTTCCGTTTCCTCGTAACTCTAACAAGCGTGATCGCTAGTAACCGATTAAATCGGTGCGACGTTTTGCCCCCAACGTAATTATACGAGTTTCTAGCGAACGTTGATTAATTATTCTCGCTCGCATCATCGCGAGAACTTCCGTCGTGAATTCGTCCAACAACTTTTTCCTCCTTTTC